CTTTTGAAGGTTGGTACTACCTAAAAATGATATGGATTTTATTCTAGTGGCGCCATCTCATAGAGACGATACGAACTTTTCAGCCCAACCAATATGTTAGTAAATTAGCTTAACTTATGTTAGTCTTAAATTATTACACGTACAATTTTCATAACAATTTTTTTTATTTTTGGCACCCCATGACACCAAGCACATGCAAGTGCATACGCATCCAGTGCCCTAGGATGGGACAATCAAATCTACCAGATAATGCCCTCAGAATGCTACTGGAGCTCCCACGAACCCTGCGCATGAGGGATGCTATTCTCTTTCGAATTATGGCATGAAAACCGTCCGTACCGTACGCTGTAAACATCCCTGAAGCGCTAGGATACCGCGGAAATCCCATCAGCATCCTGAAGGCATTATTATATTGTACCCGAAGGGCATTGTAGGCTCTCTGCGTGTACTTAATCCATAGACTGCACGTGTAAAATGACTGGCAAAAGGCTTTGAAAAGTGTTACCTTAACTTCTGTACAGCGTGCAAAGCTAAGGAACATTTCTCTTTCTATGTCCGCATCATCAGTCAGATCCTCAGTTAAAACGTGACCAAGATACCTAAATTGACACACCTTATTTAACTGTACGTTCCTTAATTTAACAGGTGGAATCTTTCAATTTTTGATCCAGCTCGAAATAACAACACTTCACTTTTTTACATTATAAATGAGACCGTGAGTCTCAGCATAAGTATCACAAATATTAAGTAATGTCCTCAGTGTGTTAATCGATGGGCTCAGCAACACCATGTCGTCTGCATAGCTTATGCTGTTAACGAAATGCCCATCAACTGAGCAGCCGACACCAGCGTTGCTGAGCTCAACGATCAACTGGTTAATGTACAGGTTGAAGAGCGCTGGTGAAGTTAGGCCACCCTGTCTCACCCCGCACTCTAACCTGTACTCGTTGGACAGTGCCTCTGTCCATCTGACCTGATTTATTTGATGGCCATACCAGTATTTAAATATTTCAATCAACTCGCTTGGTAAGGCCACTTCACGCAGCTTCTTCCACAGAATATCATAATTGACAAGGTCAAATGCCTTTGACAGATCCAGGAAGGCAGCGTAAATTGGTGTTTTCCTATTAGTATAGTACCTAACAGTATGCTTGAGTGTTAATATTGCACTCTCAGTGGAGACTTTTTAAATCCGAACTGAGCATCATGTAATTTTAGATATCCACTGAGATGTCGTTCAAGCGGACTGTCAAGCACCTTCGCCATGATGGTAGCTAATGAGATGGGCCTATAGTTCTCTTTGTCAGATGTATCTCAGTTTTATTTTTTACCATAGGCACAACAATAGTTCTCATCAGCTGCTCAGGAAGATAGAAATGTCTCATGCAAAGGGTGTAGAAGGTAGCTAGAAGCCCGGAGAGATGAGGCCCTGCATGCAGTGGCGAAGCTAGAGCTCCAAGCTAGGGCAAGCCCAAGATATAAATTGATAAAAATATAGATTGTTGTTTTTAGCAGTTTTATAAAAATACACAAATCTTGATCTGTCTCCACGCTTCAGTTTCATATTCAGTGCTGTCAAGGACGTGTTTAACAAAGCACACAGAAGGCATACCACTGCTGGATAGATTGTATTACATATCAGCAATTGCATAGCTTCGGTGGCTTTGAAGAAAGCCGTTTGGGTTTGTTTAAGCGAAAGAAAAAAATATTTACATCCAATACAATACATGAACAAAAGTAAAACACGAACAAAGTACACACTATGTACAAAATTAAAAAAAAATTATTTACATTCTAATGGATAAGAGATAAGATAAGTGGAATCGTCTCGCTTTCTTAAGGAAAGATTTAATTACGTCCACGTAAAATGTTGGTGAACGTTTTAATTGTACCAATAACTGTTTTTAATTGCGATAATTGATAAGTCTGAAATACACTCTTAACCTTGTGTATTATCTCAACAAAGTTTAAAGATTTGCTCTCCGATTATCACTTTAACACACTTCAATTCATCACAAGGAACACTATTATCCTCAATTTTCATTAAAAATCTTTAAAAAAGCATAAATTTTGAACTCGTAAAATTAAATCGCTTAAGATAAGCACACAGAGTAAATAAACATTGAAACGTGAAATGAACTTGCAAACGTATTGCCCGCGCGCCTCCGCTTTTAACAAATTTATTCCCAAAAGCCTGGCTCTAAATCTCTATACTAATTGCTATATATACAATCGTAGTTATATTTCATTATAGAATATTTTGCCATAGGTTAGAAAGAGAGCGATCGCTTTCTCGAAAGCCCCGTAAAAAGCTCACGCGAGCGAGGGAGACAACTATTAGCTCTATTAAAACTCATTTTTTATGACAGCAGCAGTATCGCTAAGGCAATACGAGGTCATCGGTCGACATGTGTCGAACAGTGGAGTGCGCGGGAAATTTGAAATAGCTTGAAACATTTTACGAGTTATTTTATTAATTGATATTATTGACTGATTCAAGTTTAATAAGGCAAGCCCGGCTTTTCGGCTTTAATGGAAGCTTCGCCACTGCCTGCACGCAGAAGATGCTCAATGCTGAGGCCATCGTGCCCCAACCCTAATATCTTCATTCGGCGTAAAGCTAATTGGCACGCCCGCGCCCGTCTGGCCGTCCTCAACATCTGACAATATCCGCGACGAAATGTTTGGTGATATTATTTGAAAATGCTCTTGAAATAAATTTGCTATCTCTCCTGGCTCATTCACCCCCTCAATACTCACAGAGACATTTCCATAGAATAATGTCGTATAGTATTTTGCTATGGTGACACGTGACTGACTCCGAAATTATATTTGTTTTGCAGAAGAGGGTCATTAGAGCAATCTATGATTTAAAACCTAAGGAGTCGCTCCGACAAAAAATTAAGGAAATTAATATATAATTAACTTTCACCCCTCAATACATTTACGAAAATGTAATGTATGTACACAAAAGTAAGTAGTTTTACAAATATAAGTGATATTCATTCTGTAAATACTAGGAACAGACACAAGCTAAGTAGTACCAGTTACTTGACTCCACCGAGTCAGTAATTCATTCTTGGGGCGATGTATATGCTTTTACAACAAAATCTCAGGAAATATACAAAATTTGGCCTACACAAGCTTCAAATTTTAATAAACTATGTATAAAAAGGTTTAAAAAATTATGGATGATAATAACCCTTTGAAAGGTATCGCTACCAAGCTACTTTTAATTTGTTTTGTGTTGTCAATTGTAACATACATGAATTTAATAATATAATCATCCTTTCTCGGTAAATGTTGATCCAGTGAGAAGTTAGAACATTGTTGATCCACCTATTTGACGTGTTTGCTCAGCTCCTCGTCGCACAAACTAATATACTTTGATCCATCCTTGATGCGCGTGTGACGTCGTTGGATCTGCACTAACAGGTTTTCAATATACTCGTCAGCGATTTGACCAACATTTGTTGATCTATCAACGGTCGAAAAAATCATACTGAATATGATTTTTTAGATCCAGAGTATATTTAATTTATATGCGACATTTACTTAGACTAAGTGGATCCGGAGCCATAATTGAGGAATAGGTACTCGAACACGAAGCGGCTACGTCGCGTTCTGTGTGTGACAGAGAACCCAGTAGGCTACTTCGTTATAGTAATAAGGTAAGAAAATGCGTTATCTGCTGATTTTGTGGATCAAACTTTGGCAGGTTTTATTGTGGAAAGACGTTTGTACGAGTTTTTGTTATCGTGTGAGTGAATTTGTGTTATTTTGTTAATTTGTCATAGATCAAGTAGAAGATCATGGATAGTACTTTATTACAAATTAATTTACCACTCGAGTATGTGTGTGTGTGTGGTGGGGGGGGGGTGCCATTTAGTGCGCGCGCGTGTGTGTGTGTGTGTGTGTGTGTGAGGCGTGTGCGTGTGTGTGTGTGTGTGTGTGTGTGTGTGTGTGTGTGTGTGTGTGTGTGTGTGTGTGTGTGTGCGTGTGCCTGGTTTTGTGTGTTAGTATGTGTGTGCGCCGCCCCCGTGTGTGTGTGTGTGTGCGTGCGTGAGTGTTTTAACTGTTGTTCGTGTGTGTGTGCGGTTTAGCTGTGTTTCCTTTTGTGTGTGCGTGTGTTGTGCTCTTTCTCCTGTGTATGTGTGTGTGTATATGTGTGTATGTGCTTGTGCGGGTATGTATATGTTCGTTCCTTCACGTGTCTGTGTGTGTATGTGCTTGTGCGTGTATGTGTGTGTTCGTTAGTGCGCGCGCGCGTGTGTGTAAGTGTATGTGCGGGTGTGTGAGTGCGAGCGCGAGCGCGTATGTGTGTGTGCGCGCGCGCGTGTATGCATGTGTGCGCGCGCGTGTGTGTATGCGCGTGCATATGCGTTCGTGCAGGTGTGTGCGTGCGTGTGTGTTTGTCTGAGTGCGTGTTTGTGTGTGTATGTGCGCAGAAAACGGAGGCGGAGAATGGAGACGTGGTTGAGGTGGTGGTGAATGCAGCGTAGTTTGTGGTGAAGGCGGAGGAGAGAAATTTGTGGTGAAGTCGGAGATAGTGGAAACGGGGAGAGCGGGGTCAGAAGTGGGTCGACCTTAGATTGTGTTGGAGGCGGAAAGAATATTATATATATATTGTACATATATATATATATATATATATATATAAATATAGATTATAGTTATAAATTAGACTATAGTTGATAAATTAGACTATAGTTGGTCATTGTTATATTGTAACTTACCACAATATAACAATGACCAACTATAGTTGCATATGCTTGTCATTGTCATATCTTATATATATATATATATATATATATATATATATATATATATATATATATATATATATAATATATAATAATATATATATATATATATATATATATATATATATATATATATATATATATATATATATATATATATATATATATATATATATTAAGATATGACAATGACAAGCATATGCAACTATAGTTGGTCATTGTTATATTGTAACTTACCACATTTCACTTTGTAACTTCAGATTTAGTGATACTCCATTCTTTTTCTCATTACCGTTGACCAGCCCATTACTGTTCTTCAGTCGCGGCGATATATCACCACCGTCGAGTGTGTCTTCATCATTATTCGATACATCAGTGTCTTTCAGCGATGTATCTGATAATCGAGATGTTACCGTGCTCATTGATTTTTCAACGCTTTCCCTTTCTCCATTAACCATCTCTATACGCCCATTGACATGTAACTTGGTCTTCTCACTGACAACATTATTATTAGTACCATTTATATTATTCGATATGCCACTATCAACAGAATTACCTTGCTTTTTCTGATCACTTTTATCATAATCATTGCTGTTAATATCATTAGGTTTGCTCATACCATCAACTACGTCTACGCCATCGTCAAACGAATGATTAGCTGAGTCTACTTCGTGGAACTTTTCGTACTTTGGATGATCTGACTCAATCACAATTGGTTGTGTATGAGAAAAATCTGTCTGATTCAAATTGTTTTCAGTAGGGTAGTCCTCGTCGGAATCTGGGAACGCGTTAGTGCTTTCCCTTGCCTCAACCGGTTCCGGAACATTGAGGTGCAATTGATTCAGTGAGGAGAAAGAGACGTTGCACGATTGGTTGTAAATGTCGTGTTTCTCGCAGTAGTACTCTTTGCCATCTGTAATTATAATTATTCTGTATCAGAAGTCTAGCAATATAATTAAACCTGCTAGAGACGGCGTAATGTCCCGTTTACACTGTGCAAGTTCCTTATATCAAAAATAATACCATTCTAGAATTGAAAATAACTGTTTACATGAGAGCGGCACACATTATCTTGAAAGCTAGTTTATACATAATAGGTCAGGGAAAAAGTTTCTTCGTATTTTGTTCATATAAAATAAAAGAAAAAATCTCTTTGGTTGTACTGTTTGTATCTGGATGGTTTTTAATATCAATACATATAAGAGAAAAGCAAAATAAAAAGTAAAAAACACTTTCCCGGCATTTTTCTGTCGTCCAAAATGTGTGAATCTAACGAAGAAATTCAATACATTCTGAAGTTTTATTACAAGAAAGGGAAAAATGCGACTCAGGCCGCGAAATATTTGTGACGTTTATGGATCTAATGCAGTATTAGTAAGAGTTGAACAAAGTTGGTTCAAGCGTTTTTAGTCCGGAAATTTTAATGTCAAAATGCAGCTTGCTCTGGTCACCCACATCAGATAAAGTCGATGACTTTTTGAAGAAGTGGAGTAAGATCGGCATATTAGAAGTTAATACATAGCCGGAGATTTGAGGATTGACCACAAAACAGTATTGACCCATTTGCAAAAGTTTTGTTATACAAAAAAAGCTAAATATTTGGGCACCACACGAGCTCACTGAAAGAAACCTAATGAATCGCGTACTTATTTGCGATTCTCTATTGAAGCGTTACGAAACCGAATCATTTTTGAAAAGATGACAAGAACATGCGAAAAAGATCATTGTCAAAAGGTAGTCAAGCTCCACGGACTGTAACGAAACTGTTAATGTGATGCTCTGTGTGTATGGTGGGATTGGAATGGCATCGTTTATTATGAGCTTTTACTGCCATGCAAAACCATCGATTCGGATCTCTACTGCTAACAACTAATAAGACTCAAGCAACAAATTGAGAAAAAACGGCCGGAATGGATCAACGAAAAGAAGTGCTAGCTTGTAGTTCGATGTCACGTTGAACTAAATCAACTATTTTTCTCATATATATTTTACTGAATCTATATTTCATTCGAAATTCTTTATCTTGGAGAGTAAAGGGATCGAAACCTTTTTTTGTAAAGTTTTCTTTTTCTTGGTGGTTCCTCACGGTCGATTTCATCAAAAATATCGAAATATTGTAAATAATCCATTATTTTCAAAAACGCCACACGTCAAATAGAGGTTACACGTCTTAAACAAAGGTTGAGAATTGTATAACGGTTGCATAATTTCCCATATAATTTAAACACTCGTTATAACAGATGTATACATATAACTCTGGTATACGTCGCGTGTAAATCTTTATTAGTAAGGCCGTTATTGTATAAGGTCGGATAAAAAGTTTCTTTGTATATTACTTGTCAGTTAAGGGTGTTATTAAATTGGCCCATCCATGTACCATGTATCCACGTACGACAAGATGGCTTAATTTCTGGTAACATTTCCTGTGAACAAACTAATCGTATAAGGAAAATCCTAGCTAAACAGGATACGCCGGGACCCATCTTTTTAAAGAAGCCCGACGGCATGTACTCAATATCGCCGGAAGAAACCCAACGCATCCTAATTGGAACACACTTCCCAGGTTGCTGTGTAACTCAGGGGATGAACTGGCATGTAAATGCCAACCACTTCTTTACACTTCGTTATGCAGATGACCTGACAATACTGGTCTCCGGAAAAACAGCAAGCATGGTGTGCGACCTAACCCAAGCGGCTCTCCGTACAGTGGAGTCAACAAGGTTAGTATGACTTTCTGGCAATGCAGAAATATGATTGGCAAACGATGGGGTCTGACGCTACAAGTTATACTATGGCTGTATAAAAGTGTGATTCGGCCCACGATCACATACGGCACTCTAGCATGGTGGACCGAAACAAATGAAGCCACCACTATAAAGAAGATTCAGCATTACCAGACTGGCACGTATGGCTGCCACAAGCTGCATAAGGACTAAACCGACAGCAGCCTTAAAGACTAAGCTGGAGCTAACCCTGCTTCACCTACACATACAACAAGAAGCGACTTTAGCTGCCATTAGACCCAAAACCTTAAATCTTTGGGGTAAGAGTAGTCCTTTATACAGGTACCGGTTGTACCGTGGCAGGTTTACGATTAGTAAATGAAACAAATTAGATGTTAGATGTGAACAAATTATTGTCTACCAAATCAATCTTCACACATGCGGGTTTTACTTTTTGAAGATTCATCATCATCATCATCATTACAGCCCTTCACAAGTCCACTGCTGAACATAGGCCTCCCCCAAGGTATGCCACAAAGCACGGTCCTGAGCCACCTGCATCCATCGACTTCCTGCATGTCTTACCAGGTCGTCACTCCGTCTAGTGGGGGGTCGCCCTACACTTCGTCTACCTGTACGAGGCTGCCACTCGAGAACCTTCTTTCCCCAACGGTTGTCGGTTCTTCGAGCTATATGGCCGGTCCATTGCCACTTCAGCTTACTAATCCATTGGGCTATGTCGGTCACTCAGGTTCTACTGCGGATATCCTCATTTCTAAGTTTATCACGCAGAGAAACTCCGAGCATAGCCCTCTCCATAGCTCGCTGAGCGACTTTGGGCGTCCTCATACGGCCAGCAGTGAAGGACCACGTCTCAGTTCCATTTGTCATCACTGGCAACACGCACTGGTTGTACAACTTAGTTTTCAGGTTTTGAGGTATAACTGACGAGAAGATGCGTTGTAATTTCCCGAACGCTGCCCAGCCGAGTTGAATCCGTCGATTGACCTCTCGGTCGAAGTTGGACTTACCTAGCCGGACTATTTGTCCCAGATAAACATATTCGTCAACAACTTCGAGCTTAGTGCTCCCAACAACTACCGGCATAGGTGTGACATGGACATTAATGATCATGATCTTTGTTTTGTCCAAGTTAATCTTAAGACCTATCTGTTGGGAGGCACTATTGAGGTCATTGAGCATAGTGCTTAAGTCCTCCAGCGATTCTGCCATAAGAACTATATCGTCGGCAAATCGAAGGTGAGTGATGTACTCGCCATTGATGTTAATACCGTATCCTTTCCAGTCCAGTAGCTTGAAAACGTCTTCCAATGCAGCGGTGAAGAGTTTCGGGGAAATAACGTCACCCTGTCTTACACACCTCTCTGCAGTTGGATAGGTTTCGTACTCTGGTTCTGTACTCGGATAGCCATCGTAGCCCTACTGTACAAACACTTCAGCACTTCGATATACCGACAGTCAACTTAGCACCGCTGAAGAGACTGTAGCACCGCCCAAATTTCGACGGAATCAAAGGCTTTCTCATAGTCCACATACGCCAGGCAAAGTGGCAGATTGTACTCTTCGGACTTCTGTACAATTTGCCGAAGGGTATGTATGTGGTCTATGGTAGATTTTATATTTTTGAAGATTATGCCGTCTAAATGTTTTCCGTTGCGGCGTACACATACACGGAACTTCTCGACACAATTCCGAGCTACGCGTTGCAATATGATTGCGGAATAGCATTCACTTCTCGCTCGATATTTTCTTTTGGTTCTGATATGTTTGTTGGGTGGTTATCATAAAATTTTGCCTTAAGATAACTTCACAGAAAAAAGTCCAAGGGGGTGAGATCCCGACACAGAAATATCTTGTACGTAAAACTGCGATCAAGCAATCAAAACCTCGCTTATTTATACTCTAAGTTTTGAGCACTCTCACTCACTTCTAAATGTTACTGTACTCTTTGGTGGGTCTACAAATTTGGAAAAAAGGTCCCTTCGGCACAGTCGAGGCTCGACACATTAAATATTGTATTAACTTTATTGTATACAACGAGAAAGAAAATTGTACAGTGTAAACGAACCGAAGTGGAATCATCACTTTACCGTGTACCTAAAAGCCGATTAATATATTCATCATCAACATTACATTCTATCCAAATCCATTGCTGAACATAGGTCTCCTCCATAGATCGCCTCACAAGGGGGACTGCACTGCAGTTTTTTTTAATTTGAATTGTTATTAGGGAGATACTGCTGCCCACTTTTCTGTTTCATTTCCCTGTGTCACCTCTTACGACACCCTCAGCATCACACGGTAATCAAAAATATTGCATAAAAAAGTCGTTCTAACGAGAGACTGTACAATTATCATCTCAAGTAACCAAACATTTGACCTAATTACTATACTTGGCAGGTAGATTGGCGACCAATCACTATACAAGCTAATCGCCACTTTAGTAAAGCTACCACCTCTACTATTTACCGCTTACGCTTTGGTCATGCTCGTACTCCTTTACACTTGGCCAAACTTAGGATTAGGGATAGCTCAATCTGTGAATGTGGCCTAGATGAAGGATCTGTCAATCACCTGTTTTTTGAGTGTCCTAAACTTTCTTTCTCTCTCTACGATATCCTGCCCAATTACATCCCTCCTCCAGTAAATTTCCAATTTTTGCTGACCCTAGTGTATACTCCCTTCGTAAATATTAATAATATTTTATTCGCATTAATAATATTAAACTGTATAATTACTTAACAACTTTGGTGATGGTATTTTAAATATGTGACGTTTTTGTTGTAGATTGTGAACCCACTCATTAAATTGAGAACCCTTATTTTAACCATTATTAACTTGTCACTTCCATGACCGACTTGACACTGGCAGAATTCTATCAAGAGAAGCCATAATTTAAAAGAAGAAGAAGACTTAGTAGACTACCTAAATGAGGCTCTCTATAGCAGACTTGTAAAGAAAATTTTTTAGTCATGTATTTGCTCCTGCTTTTATATTAAGATCTCTCACACTCGAAATGTGTAATAAAGATGCTTTATATTTCATAAATTTCAATCGGTTTTTAAATCATTTAATTACTTGTCTTACATAGCTGTGGCATTTTAATGATGTAATTAACTGTCATCGCAACATTCAAAAAATTTATTATGTTGAATTGTTTCATGTAAAAATGATAAATGTACCACGAAACTTACCCGGATCCCGGCCCCAATGCGGTGAATTGAATTGCACATATGTGTGTAGCTGTAGCAAAAGTCTACGACGTAAAAGCCAAGCTACGACTCTTGCTAGTCTCGCCCCCCCTCCACAGCCCCCTCCTGCTCCCCCCACTCCCCCGCGCGACGTACCACAGTGGAGCTGGGAGAGAGAATTCACTGAGCATCTGCAAAATATTTCAAACACATTCTAACATATTAATTTCATAAGGCAAGTGTATCGTTACCTCTGGATAGCAAAGTACTAACGACTTTAACCCCTTCGCTCTGACAGCGCGCGACATGTTATACTCCCGTTCGCTCGGGACCGTAATGGCGGGAAAATTTGCAAATTAGCAAATTTTTTGCTATATTGCAAATTTTGCTATATTTTCACTTTGAGACAATATTTATGGATAAAACTTACAGGATTTCTTGTTGAATGTATAAACTATCGAATAAAATTATTTTTGGTTGCTAGAAATTGTAATAAAATACGTAAATTACCCTGTATAGCTGTATAGTGGTATATACTTCAATTTTAGTGACAAAATTACTACTAACTTGAATTCTACACTTTTGTTTTTAGAGAAATTTATATGAAAATGTTTGGAAATATGTATATTTTTATGTTTTATGTGTTTCCATTCGTTACTCATACCAAAATATTAAAATATAAAGAAATTAAAAAAATTAAATAATCATATTTTATCTGTGTGACATTTAGAACAATATTTCTAAAATAGTTTTGTGTGAATTTGAAATAAATACAACGTCAAGTTATTTGAAATATGTAAGAAAACTATTTTTACTTACATTTTACACTAAAAATAAATGAGAATGTGAAAAATACCACATTTATGACCCAGCCGCCATAATGGGCCTTCCAGATTTTGAAGCACTTTTGGCAATTTACTTTTCACTTTTTATACCACAAATTATATATCTACGTGTTCACTATATTACAAGGAATATAAAAAAGTATAATACTTTCGTTTTTAGTCCAGACACAATTATAAAATTCTATAAAAAAGACGGAGCGCCTCCATCAAAACGACACGTGGAACGCCGAAAGTTTAGAGTGATTTCTTTTTTTTTTTTCTAAGAAACATTGCCAGGTTATGGTTTAAAATAAAAGAACATATCTTTGTCTTTGATACTATTATCTATTGCATATTGTCTTTGGTTTTGTTTTAAAGGAAAAAGTAGTTTTTTCATAAGGCAGTACTTCTGATATTATCTGATCTAATTAGCCCCGTACTAGAGCGGGCGTAAGGTAGGTATTGTACGATCTGATTAGATTGGTAGCCGAGCGATAGGGTTAAACCATAGAATACTATAATACATACATAATAGAACGGGGGGTGTGTGTGGAGCCCGTGTAGCCACTAAAATGCCACTAACACATCAATTCACACGTATAAATGTCAACACGAGATGTGTTTTGATGTAACAATCGTTTCTAAATTTCGCATGCAAATTATTTAGAAAATGCCAAATTGCACGCTATTTACAAATAAATATGTATTAAAATCCGTCTGTCAACACAGCGAATCGGGTTTGTAGTAGTGATTAACTGATAATACGACGTAATTGCTTGTGTGTGCTCCCGGCGACGCCGATCCTCGGTACAAAATAAGGTTGACAGCCATTCTATTGTGTATTATAGTATTCTATGCTTTAAACAGTATTAGTAAACTATTTCTGAAATAATTCTCTCACAATTAAATTTTACATCACATCTAGCCACTATTGTTCTACGATTTCATTCTCATCATCATCATCATCATCTAAGTTATGCTTCAAAGCACGGTCCTGAGCCCCCTGCATTCATCGACTTCTTGCATGTCTACCAGGTCAACACTCCGTAATTCTATCCAAAATGAAAATATTTCAAATAATTTTAAGTGGCATGAACTCTGTGCAGTTATGCAACTAACTCTAAGCTCTGTGTAGGTAAGGTTTGCTGTAAACTATTGCATTGAAATTGACCTTTTATAAAATAGGTTTTATTTCTAGATATTTAAGTAATAATGCGGCACAACAATATACACATGAGGTTGGGTTGGTTGAAGATGATATTCAATATTTCACACGGATATTAAATCTGTTGTTGCATTGATGATATTGTTTTTTTTTATGATTCTGCTTTTGTCACATATAAATCAGATTTGAAATAAATTCGTTCTATTTTGTTAAACAACAGCCTATTAGTTTTTTTTTGTATTTTCTTTTTCCTTAACTGCCTGCTCTTCAAATGCTCGCCATAATGTAATCACCAATTAAATCAATTCGCTATGGCTATGCTGTTATATAGAATACTTTTTTAGGAGCCGAACCACTGACTTTCGTAACACAGGTTATCCTAGACGATCACTTATCAAAAGTCCCTATGCTAGCTTGTTACATTAATCTACGATAACATTGCGTTATGTTTAAGGCTATTTGTCAATAAATTATTATTCTTATATATTATTATATAATCTTTATTAAAACACTGCATATTAGTAATGATAAATAAAACATACTTGCAACAAACAAAGCCCAGGAAATTCCTTCGTAAACTCTTCTAACAAAGGTGAGTGTATATGAACATTAGCCCCAGGGGCCACTACATAGACGTTGCCCTCACAAAGCGGATAGATGACAGTCGCCTTTGCCCAATACACAAGATGTCCAGTTAGCTGTGATACCTAAAAATTAAACAATAAAATACTTAAGTTTGTATTGAATAACTATTATAATATATATATAAAAAAAACCCCCCCCAAAATAAGGCGAACAAAAAAAAAAAAAAAAATTGTGGGGGGCAAAAAAAACCTATATATATATATATTTATATTATATATATATATATATATATATATATATATATATATATATATTGCTGTATGCTAGTCTCACGAAACTGGCTTGACCAATTCTGTTGAATTTTTTTTGTTTGTGTTTGAGTAGGTCCGTAGATGATTTAGATTCACAAGTGGACCCGGTAGGTGGTGGTAGGAGCTGTTTCGAGATCCAGACACCCGTGCTAAGCCGGGTAGGATCGCTAGTTGATATATAAAATCATTAGGCAAGTTTTGTATTATGTCGAGTTTGACGACTGACTTAGTGATCCGAGCACTTGATTCCCCGAGCTCTGGTTTTGAGTATGAATTCTAACTAATCTAACACACAAAATGGATGATTTGGTAGCATAGTAGCTAAACATCTAGTTATAAAATGTGTATGATCTATAAATAATTTAGTATGTAAATTTTTGTAAGGTGTCGTTTCTATATTATGTACTTTACTTTTACTTTAAGCAATAGTTAATTTTAACGGCCTATGCTACCTCAGCTCAAATTCTAATTTCGTCTCCACTTTCCCGCGCCACTCGTTCGCACACTACGAACTCGTTCGCACACTATGCGTGGCTCGAGGTCACGCGGGAATAATAAAAAAAAGCAACTCGCGTTGATTTATTCGGACATCTTCGGATATTTTCGGACTATGCATCCTTTTCTTTTCAATGCAGTTCATTGTTGCTATACTTTTCTTTAATTACCGGCACGTGTAACTAGTGCCAGTTAAACTATAATATTGGTACAAGTAAATATTATGCATGTTATCGTGAATGTTTTACAGACTTATACTATAAGCGACATAGGTGTAAGCTGAATGTTTTAGAGAATGTAAGTCAATCCATATTTGAATTAATTGATTTAATAATTAAAGCAAATTATTCAAAACTTCTTAAAAAATTCAAATAAAATTGATATAATTTTTAATAGATGGCACTCCGCTCTCTTTACTGCAAAGACGCCATGTCAAGACAAGTAGGAAACGGAAGTGAACTTGATATATAATTAATATACAAGACAGTTTAAATAACTGTTGCTATTTTATTTTTAATAGTATTCTATTATTATTTCAATATTGTAAAAAAAGTTTGTTTTAATAAAAAATATTCTTTAAAACAAAAAATTCTACCTACTTAAAGTAAAACTTTTATTCTTTATTTTTTACTAATTTATTAATATAATTTTGTATATTAAGTAGACTTGGTACCAAATTTATTAGTTAAAATTCCCATCACTATTTGCTTATTAGCAAGTGTCGCAACCTTGATTTTAACCAATTAGCGTGCATTTCAACCCGCCTCCCCCGTACCGATTACCTCAGACTTTTGGCAGACAAGTTTGGATGCAGAAGTACATACATTAGGCGTCTATTCGGGCTGTGTAGTCGTTGCGGTCAGGGTTTCATCTGGTCAAGTTTTATTTATTTATCTTAATATATATAAATTACGTGTCACGTTGTTTGTCCGCGATGCAACTCTAAACTACTTAACCGATTTTAATCAAATTTGCACACCGTGTGCAGTTTGGTTCAAATTGTGAGATTTTTTTGCCCATCAGTGACACACAATATTTTTTTTTTTTGCGAATTTTCGGATTTTTAATAGGACATGACAAAGGGTCGTCGAAAAGGGCAGAACAACGTCTGCCTGGCAAGCTAGTTTTACTGTATTTATTTTATTTCTTTTATTGTATTTATTCAATCTAAAGGAGAGGCCTATGTTCAGAAGTGGGCTCTAATAGGCTGTAATGGTAACAGACCAAAATATTTTTTTATGTATTATATTCATTAAAACGCATGCCGCATGCTCTATGACATACAGAATGCATAACGTATAGAATGCATACGCATTACCATATATACATATGGTGGGAGTGTAGAGAACTGGAAACGAGGCATTCCATCTTAGTCCTCACGCGTGATAACACATCTGCATTTTGATTCGTAATCGAGGATAGATGTAGATGTCTATGGGCTACAGCTACCACTTACCATCAGGTGGACTGTGCGCTCGTTTGTCACCCTATCCTATATAAAAAATATCTGTAGGCCTATAAAAAATGCCGGGCACAGCTAGAAGGATAAAGACAATACTTTGAGTGATCTCTTGGTTTTAATGCTCTAACGAAACTGCAAAATTTATTTAATCCTTGCACAAGTTTCTAAAGTGACTAAATTATTAAAATCAGATCTAATTGAGTGAGTGCAGACACATTAAAATTTAGATACTATTACATTAGGATAAATGACACATGTTATTTATATGTATTTGAGTTACGTACCACAATTGTTAGTAAATACGAAAAAGTCATCAAATGACGTCATCCCACGCTTACTGATATAAGCAACAGTTTTATGTATGTTTTATCTATCTATGTAAGCAGCTTGTTTACTAATTTACTACTGATAGTACTCTTCATGGTTATATTATTATCGTTTATTGTGAAGATAATAAAATATGTTACAAAACAATAATATACACTTTATCAATAACAAAACTGAAACAATGTGTTCTGTAGTGTAAGCCCTGATGTCTTGTACTGTTACAAATTAAGGCTCACCTGTGTAAAAGATAGGTCTGCTTCAATAGCAAGCGTCTGAAGGCTTTTTAGCGGACTGTAAAGCTTGATCAATCTTAATAAGGCCGGACTTCCATCAAGAGGAATAGATGCTAGTAGATAATTTGGATCAACCTGTAAAAAATTAATAACCTTAGAAATTTTAAATCCAAAATAAGTAAATAAAATAAGGTTGTAAATCAGGCATTCTTTTCAAAGTACAGTAGATAAATGAATAACAACTAAAGTTGATGATGTTCAAAAAATAAAATGTTTTTTTTTAAAATATAAAACTAAAGACAAATGAACTGACAATGACTGCAATCTAATAACACCTGCAGCCAAATTCAGATAAAGATAGTCAAATTTAAAAAAAAATACATTTTCAACTCCGAGGACTAAGATGAGATGGCCTGTAAGCCTGGCCCTCTGTAAGCTTTAAGCCTGAGCGGTGTCTATTTGTGCATTTCTGGAGCACAGTATGTGAAAATTATCAAATCAAATCTAACAATTTATTTGTAAAACATAGATAAAAAGTTACAAACTTGGTGGAAAAGGTATGATAAGTAACACTATATTTCACCTAAAAAGGCATACAAATTTTTGTTTATCACTATCTCCTGGCAATATGAAAATTAATTTTTAATAAAATAACAATTTCAAATATAATTGGTATGTTTAGAAATAACATTAATTATTATCTTATTTATCAATTACATAAATATAAAAATCTAATAAATAAATCGTCCATTAATTATTGTAGGTACTAAAAACCATTCATTTTATCTTCAAAATATTCGTTGATAGAGTAGTGTGCTTTATATATTAAAAAACTCGAAAGCAATTTCTTAAATTTGTCTATATTATCACTCACTTAACTTCTGTACTTTCTTTATTTCGCAGTACTAAGTTAAATGAAGCCTAAAAACCCATTATTAAATTTGTCTTACCAACAGAAGCATTCCATGATAGGGTCTGAGTTTCTGCAGACATTTGTCAATGGTTTCTGGTTCAATTATTAAACCTCTGTTATGAATCTGATGAGCTTTGTGAGGTAAGCAAAAGGATAGGAGCACCCATTTGTTTATTCGGACTTGTACAATACCTGAAAATTGTAGATGTATATGTAATGTATAAACTGTTATTTAGTTGTAATATTCAACAAAGAGACTGATCTCATTTGAGATACCCATATCCAATTCCTAATAAATATATGTAATATTGAGAGGGAGGTTAAATATGCATTAAGCTGCCACGGTAGTATATAGTAGGTGGTAGTGAACCCCCGGTATTCCGGCCCCTGGCTAATCCGTCCCCCCCCCTTGTAATCTGTAATATGTCTTTAAGACGACACATCGAAAAAGTGGCTCCGACCATCGCCGTATTAAAAAACGCCGTCCTAAGTTCTAAAATTGCGTAGCGCCCGCAACGATTAAGACCGCTTGTAAATTGTCAGAATCTTAAAATATTTGTTAAAAATTATTGATTTACGTAATAAAAAAATAATGAGCAAGTAAATTATGAATATTGACGTTATGAATATATTTGGGTGATTCCCAAGCGATTAGATTAAGTAATCTTTGTAATTTCAAGTATAGTGATTTTTTTAGAGGTGTTTTCGTAAGTAATTATGATCGAGTCAAAATTATATAATCGTGTTTTTGAACAAGCGAGTTCAAGATAAATACATGAATTTACCTATATCAAAATTCCACTTTCGTTAGTAGTGTCATAGTCCTATACTATTCTATGAAAGGAGGTGCATTTTTTCGCGGTGTCGCCTTAACTACAAGTAATAAAGATATTAATTAATTTGCAAGCATCCGCTAATTAAATACAATGATTTGTTTTACCTGGATTGAAGAGTACCTCCCGCCCTCCCTCAATTGCGTGCACCAATCCCGTCACCACTAATCCCAGCACACTACTCCCACACCACTACTCCCGGCACCACCACTCCCAACACCACTATTCCAGGAAAGACACACCAATCACACCATCGACGATAATACTCAGGTAATGTAGACTCTACGGCGGTTGACTGCTAAGTCTTAGCTCTTCTTTGGTTCCTGAAAATCCTAACAAGCAATTACTTACATAATATTATAATCTTTTTTGTGTTTTGTTAACTGTATATTTGTTTGTGGTGTACAATAAAAGTATATTCATTCATTCACTCTTCAATCCAGGTAAGACACATAATTGTATTTAGTTAGCGGATTGTTGCAAATTAATTAATATCTTTATTATAATGGATTTCCGCAAAGTAACGCCTGATTCTATCAATTATCTTAACTACAAGTTATAGTAGATTCGAGTCGCGCTATGAATGCGCCACGGGTTGAGGTATCCTTTACGAATACATGGACAAACAGGTTGCATTTAGTACGCGCAACTACGAATCTAGCTGACGCGTATTGTCTCAGTTCAAATGTGAATATGATAGCGGCCAAGTGGGCATGCATTATTTACTGTTTAGGTATTCATTCTACATCACACGACATTTTGAGTTTTTATTATTTTATATTTGGTATGTAATCTGTTGGATTACAAGGTACTCTTTTTCAACAAGTTCCGGACTACCAGAGGGCTGTGGCAGTCCTCTATAGTCCGACAAATTCGATAATCAGACACCGCCTTGCAAAATGTTTTTTCATTGACTGAAACTAGTTTTATAGATTTTATTATGTTTAATTGAATCGGTATTCTTATGTTTAGTAAGAAAAAAGAACCTTGTTGTTAAAAATGTATCTTTCAATGTATTTCAATGCAAAAAGATAAAGAAACAAGGCTGCAAATATTGGTGACCCTTAAATAGATGTTAAAACTGTAGTGTAAACCACTCAAACTTATCCCCAATTGTACTCTCTCACCCTTTTACTTATAATTTTTAGATAATTATGTAATAGGCATGCTAGCATACGCTCTCTCACACACACTCCTAAACACACACACACACACACACAGACGCACGCACGCACGCACGCACGCATGCATGCATGCATTTACAAGGGTAAGAAAAGAAATAACACACCTGTGGAACTGAGACCTTCAAACACAGCTTTCATGGATCTTGCCAGTGAGCTTCTCTGCAGTATTAGGTGAAAGGCCGATTTAGGAGTGGCACCATTTTCACAGATTTCGGTACCATAAGTTGTTGAGCTCACAGAGTGGCGTAAGTTTTCCTCTTCTTCATCATTTTCCCCTGAATTTATTTCACTATCAAGTGCTGAAACCTCGTCATGTGCAGCTAACTGAAAGATTTAATTAAATGTGTAGTTGTTTTAAGTAAAGGTGTTTGTATACTCTAGTAATTATTGTATAAATCATGTTTTTGTATCCTTAAAATTTTAAATTTAAATAAAATGATAATGTCAGTTTTGTTAAATAAGTTAGTACATTAACCTGACACTAATATTTTTTTAGTTACATGTGTTTACTAGTATTTAGTATCAATAATATAATATGAATAAAAAATATTAACAGATACAGGATCATACCATTATTTTCATTTCTTCAGTCAAATATGAACACCTTTTTTCTTCATGTCTCAAGGCTTTACCCAACCTTTTGCTCAAATCATAATAGCACTTGACTAGAAATGAAAAACAGTCCTATAATAATTGATATACAAAATATAGATAATTATATTTTAGAACAAATAGTATTTTACAACATTTATTTTTATTATTTCAAACAGCCTTAAGACCAGATGAAAGGGGAATATATCACCTTGATATTGGGATGCTTGATGTCAACCCCACCTGCACCCAATACATCCTGCTGATTGACATAAGACTGGCATCACAATTACAGAAAAAATCATCAAAAATTGCTATGCCCACATTTCAAAAACTGATGATTGGATGATTACAATTATTAATTACATGTATAAGTATTAATTTGCTTATGCTCACCAGCCCACCTGATAAATTTGGTAATCATGAGCAAACCCTTTATTGCTTGCTAGCTAGTACATTAATTAGAAAGCTCATGTCTTTTGACAGGCTAGCTATGTGATGTGTCAGTACATTTTAAAATTAATTAAGTTATGATAACAAATATATTTCCATAATTATTTTTTTAATTTTGCACTTAGAATTTGTTCTAAATTATGGAAGAGTAGTTTAGACAACACCCAGAAAAGGAACAGTTATTTTTTGTAGACAGGAATTGAAGCCATGGCCTGCATTACCACATCACAACATTTAACCTCTGCAATATACATTCTTTGCAATATCTGCAATATACAAGTTGTAGCCTTAATTGTAACATTTTCATTGATTAAATAAATTTCCCCTAATATTTTTAGTATATAATGAAAGGTGTATATTGTTACAATTAAAATGCTAACCAATTGAATGACTTGCTGATGCTTGCAATGCAAAAACAATGTTTATAAGTATCATAGCTGCTGTATCATCTTTATTTGTTCTGTAAGGCAGAAGTGTTGGGTGCCCCACAAACCTCACATCGTTCACTTTAAGCTCAAACTTTCTATTGCATAATTCAGCTTTTACAGCAAACAAAGTTGAAAGCATTTCATCTGTGAAACCACTTAGCTGACCTGAAATTCAAAATATAATGTAACTTGAGATAGGATATCCTCTCTTATATTTACAAGGACCTTTTTAAATTCAAACCTTTTTTTTTAAATTTACACATATATATTATAATAAATAGAAAATATATAGAAATATATATATATATATATATATATATATATATATATATATATATATATATATATAGGAAATGAAAGTTGTAAGACTTACATAAGTCAGCTGTAATAAACTACTGATTTATCTTACTTATACATAAATAGGATGCAAGTTTAGAACAGTACTTATGTTCAGTTGAGTAGTGGACTTGTGAAAGGCTATAACAATAAAAATGATGATGAATAAATAAATAATTCTTGATATACATTCCTTTTATAATTAAAAATATAAGTGACATTCAATTAGATTCACCAGATCTGGTTGAAATTTATTTATCTACCTATTTGATAGCACTGTTTTAAAGAAAATTAGCTAAATAAATTTACAAGCCAAATATAAAAAAGAAAATGCAGGAATTGATAAAGGCTGGGGTTAAGAAGTTTGCGGTGTTACACCTTCTTGCTTTAGAAATCATTTAAAGCCATCTCTCTAGTCTTGTCGGATGTTGTCCCATTGAGAATATAAGAGTGAAGGAATATAATGCACCCATACTTGTACACACACTTGTGCATATAATCTTTTCTGTGCAGTGTGCAGATGGCTGGTTTCCATTAAGACTGGCCACCATGACCAAAGTTTGGTCTGGGGGAATTATTGTTATTTACTGCAATGGTAAACAGCACAAGTAATTGAATATATGGCGAGTTAATAGAAACTGAAGGCATGACCACATTTGAGTTATTGTTTCTAATTAAAATTGTCATTATATTGCATCATAGACATATTGTTACAATATTATGTATGATAGGGAATTCAACAACATTGACTGCCTCATAGATCTAGTGGTTGTAAATGTGACTGCTGATCACAAAGTCACGGGTTTGCATCCTGGGTCAGGGCAAAAAAGGGTTGGGTTTAGTATCACGTCGCCTGAATTTGAGGAATCTGTCTTCTTCTTCTTCTTCTTTCTTTTGTGGCGGTTTGATAAAATTCGGCAATGACGTATTGAGTAGAAAATGAAAGCTTATGAGTTTAATTAAAATAAGAGTCTGTGATAATACAAGGATTCAGTTTTCCTCCAAGAATTTTGACAAATCTATTTGTTGAATTACCTAGAACAAATATGACAAACACAGGTGTTAGACTCTTACCCGTATGTTAAAAGTGACAAGGATTTAAAGTTTCATATTATTAGTATTAATAAAATCACATAAAATATACACAAAAGGAGTACTGGTATATGTTAAAAGAGAATTAAAATCTATAGGTCGAGGAATATAAGGAGGAAGGTAATCATAAAGGGAGGAGGATAATTTGGGACAGTTGAAAAAAATATGGTTTGTGGAACCTTCATCTAAGCCACATTCACACAATGAGCTATCCCTTATTCTGATTTTTGCCAGATGTGCATGTGTACAGGCGTGTCCAATTCTTAATCTACAAATGATTGAAGTTGCATGTTTATTTGCTTTGTTAAATTTAAAGAACCAAGGCTTGGGAGGAATAACCTCTTGGATGGCAGCATAGTGCTTACCTTTAACTTTTTTGGAAACTTACCATAATTTATTCCAATTTTCATTCAGTTTCCTTTTAGCTAGCAAAATTAGGTCATGTGAGTAAATTAAATTTTGTAGAATGCCATTAGCAATTGCATTTTTAGCGAGTACATCAGCTGTTTCGTTACCATGGATACCACTGTGGCCTGGAATCCAGGCCACTGAAACATGGATTCCTTTAAGATGGCATCTGAATAGGGTATGTTTTATTTTAAGAATTAGTGGAAACTTATGTTTGTTATGGAATTGATTGGACAAAATAGCTAACAAACAACTTTTTGAATCTGTGAAAATAACTGTTCTTAGGAATCCAAACAGCAGCTCCAGTATAGTCTTCATCAGAATGTTTTGAAGCATCTGTGTACATGACAAGCCACTTTAAAGGTGTTTTCTATAATTTCTTTTAATTTCAAATTTGCCATTGGAGAATCCTTTTCTATACCTAGATCTAGTTGAATGTCGGGTTGGTAAACAATAGCCTCGTAAGGAACATTAAAGAGTGGATTTATTTTGCATTGAAAGATTGGATAAGGAAGCTGAAGAAAAATTACAAAACTTTTAAACAAGCAGGGAGAGTCCTTATGGGTCCAGTATCGGTCAGATGAGATATACTCTGAAAGAAGGTGCAATTTAGGAATTAGGGGATGATCTGAAAGTTGGCAGATCTTAAATAAGAATCTGTCTGAAAGGTATTGCCTTCTTAATCTTAAAGGAGGATCTACGCACTCAACCTGAAGAACATTTATTGGTGAGGATTTCATTGCCCCTGTAATAATGCGAAGGCATTTCGATTGAATTTTGTCCATTACTTTAAGGGATGATTTATTGCAAGGCTCCAACAGAAAACATCCATAGTCAAGGTGGCTTCGTATTAAAGCATTGTACAGTAATTTCTGAGAAAAAGGATGGGACCCCCACCAAACACCTGACAAAGACCGAAGAATATTTATGTTTTTTTCGCATTTTTGTGTTATATATTCAATGTATGGACCGAAGGCCAATTTCGAATCAAGGATAACTCCCAAAAATTTAACATTGCCTCTAACTGGAATAGGTTGCTTATCATATACAACAGATATATCGGGAACTCGCCTTTGGCGGGAAAAGATCACCACACTACTCTTGGCCACAGATAAAGAGAGGCCATGATTAGTTAACCATTCTTGTAAATAATCCATGGATGAGTTTAGACGGGAACATGCCACTGTGAAGTTGTTTGAGGAGATGTATAGAGCTAAATCGTCTGCATATTGAAGAACATTACAAAAAGAATTTACTGAAAGTTCTAAATCGTGAGTATATATAGAATAAAGGAGAGGACTAAGAACTGAGCCTTGTGGAAGTCCTTTCCATATAGTTTTTGGGGGGAAGCAGGAGATTTTTAACATTTATAGATATTGATCTAGAAGAGAGAAAGTTAGAGACGTAATTGACTATCCTCACTGGAATGCTCAGATTAAGCATTTTCTGCCTGAGCACAGGAAGAAGCACATTATCATATGCAGAAGAAATATCCAAGAAAACTCCTATGAGAAATTCATGTTTTGAGAAGGCAATATGAATATCTGTGACCAAGGTACTTAGGCTATCCATGGTACTTAAACCTTTTCGGAAACCGAATTGGCTTTTAGGTAAGAGATTATTCCTTTCCAAAAACCACTCCAAGCGATTTTTTATTAAATGTTCCAAGATTTTTGCCAAAGTACAAGATAGGGCAATAGGTCGGTAACTGGAAGGGTCATTGCTAGACTTACCTGGTTTGAGAATGGGCAAAATAATTTGGGTTTTCCATTCAGCAGGAGGATCACCAGTAATATAAATAAAATTTAAAATGGATAGTAAGACAGTTTTAGTGTTCTCACTACTATTAATTATAAACGAATAAGGAATCCCATCAATACCTGGTGAGGAGTCTTTAAGGCCATTGAGTACAGTAAACAATTCCTGAGAAGAAAAGGGGGGAATAAAATTTATCATTTGTTTTTAAAAAAGCAGAATTAAAAACTAGGCATTCATCATAAGATGGGACTGTTTGTGGTGCAAGTTTATTAGAGAATTCATCTATCCACGGGGAAGGATCATTAGAAATTATATTTTCACTAGAAACTGCACAGCGATATTTTTTAACATTTCTCCAGACCAAAGATGGGGGAGTCCTAGGTGACAGTGACTCACAGAATTTAAACCAACCAGTTCGCTTTTTGTCTGACAGTAATTTTAAGGTTTCTGCAGCAATTTTTTTATAAGAGATATAATTCTCTGCAGTCATAGAACGGGAGTATATTAATTCTCCTACAAGCTGCTGAACAATCTTGGTCCCACCAAGGAGGGGAGGGATAATTATTTTTGAAAGGTTTTTTTTAAGGGGATTGACTTATTAGCAGCAGAAATAATTGCATTTCTGAACTCTATATATACAGTAGCAATATTATCATTGTTAATTGGGGGAAGAGTTGAAACCTCTTGTTCCAAGACTTTAGAATATAATTGCCAATTAGCTTTGGATAGATTATACTTTAGTCTTGGGCAAAATGTAAAATTTATTCTAGGTGAAGTAGGAGGAGTGATGAATATAGGAAAATGGTCACTGCCATAGCTAGAAGGTAATATTTGCCACAAAAGAAGGGAAGCAATATCTGGAGAGCAGAGAGTTAGGTCAACGGCACTTCTAACATTTTGTAATGGGGATACTCGACGGGTAGGAGACCCATCATTTAGAATACAGAGATTAAAATTATCAATAAGATCTAAAAATAAGGGAGCCAGTGAATCACACAGATGGGAGCCCCAAACAGTATGATGCATATTAAAATCTCCCAAAATAACCATAGGAGGTGACAGAGAAGAGATAAGTGTTGCAAGTTCTGTTAAAACATTTACATCAGGATTAGGGATGTAAACAGAGAGAATAGAGACATCAAGGGCCTTAATAGCAACAGCATTTACTGCTGGACTATGAGAAGGGAGAGGAATTTGTGAAAATGTAACAGTTCTTGAAATTAAAATAGAGGTGCCAGCACGACCATCACTCCTATCATCCCGGAGGCATGCATAGCCTGAAACCCTAAAATGAGATTCAGGCCTAAGCCATGTCTCCTGGATGGCAAGAATGAAGGGATGAAATTTGTTAATGAGGTAAATGAGTTCATTTTTTTTATTTCTAATACTCCGACAATTCCATTGAAGAATTGGCGGGACTGCGAATGTTACGGGCTAAGGAGGAAAGCTGAGTAAGTTTTTGGTGTAAGCTGAGAGGAAGTTCCGTGTCACTAAAACGGGAGATCATGTTAATTAGAATTGATATCATAAGTTCGCAGAAATTATCATTACTAGAGGAGTTGTTGTCATTTCCCAGTAGAGCACACCCATTAGGAAGGGAAGAATTAGGATTCTCAACAATTGCTTGATGGGCTGCCATATCATATCCAGAATTTAATGGTGGGCTGCGGGTACGTTGAGGGATAAAAATTGTTTTTTTATATGATGCAGTTTGTGAGAGCTGAGCCGAAGGGGTTGAAAGACTGTCAGTTATAGTATAAGGGGTCTGTTGAGAACAATTACGAGGCTGGATTCTTGTTGTATCAGCAAAGGATCTTTTTGTCTGAGGGAATCTAGCTGAAGCTTCTAAATATGAAATATTTTCTTGTGACATAACAAGTTTAATAGATTTTTGCCTTAGATGTTCAGGACATGTAGGGTCTTTTTGCGGTGTGGGGACCAGAGCAGAATAGGCAAGTAGGAGTTTGTCGAGTACAAGATAAACCTTCATGATTCTGTGCACATACAAAGCAGCGAGGAGATGATCGGCACTGGGAAGTAACATGGCCATATCTACAGCATTTATGACACTGAATTAGTGGCAAAACATATTTTTCCACTGGCATTGAGGTGTCAAAACAGTAAATATGGGGAGGAAGTTTTTGTCCAGAAAAAGTTAGAACAACCGTCTGAGTTGGAACCCATGAAACGCTATTGCTGTCACTCACTGATCGTTTATTAAGTCGCCGTGCTTTAATTATAGAACCGTATCCAGAGGGAATTTCTATAGCTGCTATTAATTCTTCTAGTGTCCACTCTATGGGAACTTGTCTAACTAGCCCCATACGAGTGATACTATATGAGGGGATGGTTGCTTCATATTTAGAAATTTGGAGAGCTGGGTGATCGATAAAGGTGTTTGCATCTGCAGCTGATTTAAACTCCACGGATATTCTATTTCGTCCAACTTTTTTGACTCCATCATGGACTATATTTTTAATATTGTTATGATACAGAAAGTGGCCGAATTTAATTGGTTTAAGAGTTACTCCAGACAGCTGATCATTTGAGATTTTACTTACGTGAACTAGAAAAGGAGCGGCATCATCTTGAGAGTACTTAACTTTTTTATTAATAAAATCAGGATGGGTATATGAGGATTGTATTGAAGGAAACTGTTGATTTGGATCAGTAATAACTATTTTTTGTGGATGGGCAGACTCGTTACTTACTTGGGCACGTTTACGTTTAATTAATTCTACATTATCAATGTTAGTGGGTAAGGAAAAGGAATCATTGCGAACCCTTCCAGGATCGGGAGGTTCGTCCTCCATTATATTACTACAACAAAAAATTACATAAAAAACGGCACAACTACAAACACTTACTAATTTACAGATATTAAAACCTCCACCAAGACAGAAAAATTTACTATGGTAAATCAACAACACTTAATAAAACAATAAATTTTAAGCAAAAAAGGCACGACACTTGTATCTCTCACTTCCTCCGAAAAAAAAAACGAGGAATCTGTCACTTTGGTCAAGAAGACTTATCTCAAGCGCCCCCATGCAGTTTTAGCCGTCGCACATGTGCCAAAATATTAAAAATTATTTTCTAAAAATATTCGTAAATTATAATTACTAATGATTTCTTATATTACGTTCCGGGAAGTCTGCAGTTTGCGATCATATCCTAGACGGCCCCAACCATTACATCAGATTTGATAGACCACAAATCCTCGCGAAAGAACACCGATTCCTACCAAGGATGATACGTGAGGCTATTGAAATTAAAAAACATCCTAATTTCAAAAGAGAAGGAGGCTGGGTACTAACCCACCTGCTTGGGATCCAATAATCAATAATATTAAAACTAAACCCAAGCATACCACTGCAAGACCTCAGGACATAGTCAGTTCATTTTGCATAGATCGGACCATAAACAATAATTAAAAACACTGAAGGTACTTCGGGTTTAACAATGACATCGGGACGTCAGTCATCTCAGTCCCCCCGTGACCATGGGTGCGGGAAAGCGCCCGAAACGTCGGGAATTAAAAATAAAAGTAATTAAAAGTAAAATAAACGCGATAAAATCCGTAAAAGTAGTTTTAATCAATGTATAATTACTAACTAAAACAGAACTTAAATTAAACTAAATTCTTAAGTTTTTTAAATTGCATCTATCGAAATGCGTAAAATGGCCCCTTAAATTAAAAACACAGACACGGGCACCACAATCCACACAGACTGCCTTGCAGAACACAGGTACATCCACAAAAAAGTCAACCATTCAGATCCTGACAATCTATTTGTGGCTCCAGACAGGACTTGCACACAAAAGATTGAATCATGATGGATAGCAGTTTTTAAAACAAAAATAATTACAATAATCTAGAGAATTTTGGTGATGTGATAGTGGAGTACTTGTGGCGGTGGAACAATATGAAATATAATAAAGATCCATTTTGGAAATGCTGGAAGTGATAAAATTTGTTTATTAAAATAATTATAAAAGTTAACATTTTGGCGTTTTATTTGATGCAAGAGCGAGCAAAGCGAGTTCGAGACTTAGGGCACCCAACTTCGACAAGTTAGGTTAGAAGAGGGCGGAGTGCGAGCGACTGGACCCGTCAATCCCTTTCAAGGTTATTTCTTTATCCTCTCGTAATTCGGTATTTTGGCAGTTCGATTAAGTACTATACTACTTCTGAAAATGACAAGTAAGAAAGTATGTTAAATATATTTCCCAAATTTTCTGCAAAGGTGTCAAATAATTATAACTTAAACAGCCTTTATTCCAAGAATACTATTTGAAAATGTTTTACCCTTTTATGTCAAAAGCATATTTAATTATATAAAAAAAAATTTCATAAATTTTTTGTTTACGACAACGTCAAGAAAGGCCTCACTTAGCTCTTCTCGACATCGGGACAAAAAATAAGGAGGTTCACAAAAAAAAACAAAAAAAAAACACACTATTAAATCAAATTTAGACAAAATCAATCATGCAGATATATATGTTTTATATATGTATGCTATATATATCATTATATGTTACAAATAGTTTGCTATCACTCGACTCCATATTATGGCCTTTGACAGATGCGCATATTATTTGAGATGCCAGAATATGGCGTTTGGACAGCCGAGGGGTTATAAACTACCCAGAAATAAACTTAAATATTACTCTGTCGACTACATTTTAGAATTATTTCGGAGGAGGGGGACACCCTTTACTTTGGAGTATTAAGGCAATTTTCTCAGAAATCATAGAATAAAAATTTTAATATTTAATATAAAAAGCAGGGGGAAAGGGCCCCTCCCCTACCCCCCACACCCTATTAATGCAACTTGATACTAAGCCTTTACCCACAAAATCAGTTTTTTTGTCAACAAATTACTTAGTAGCTGCCCGGAGTCAGGAAGTTCCTCACCCCGGAAGGCATGTAAGGCCATTGGTCTAATGCCTAATCTCTCTCCAGTTGTTTCTTTTTGCCGTCCCATTGGACTAACACTAAAATGAGAGGACAGAGTGCACTTGCGCTTGTACATACATACACTTGAGCACTATAATCCTGTCCTATGACGATGGCTAGGTCTATACATTGAGGTTAACTGCCATATCTGAAATTCGGTCTGAAGGACATTATTATGATAGGGAAACAAAAATGAATATACTTTACTTGTTAAACACATTTTACACTTTTATAATAATAGTAATATTTTAGTTAAGTTAAAGGGTTGGCTATAGACATCAGGAACTTGATTGTAATGTTTTTAGTTTAGGAGGCTTGTTAGGGTTAAGCTTGAACCTAGTACACTTTTTAGACGTCAGTAATGCATTTTGAACAAATTCCTATAAAAATATGAATTTTATTTTTATATGTCGAACAGATACACCTGTAAAAAAGTTATACACCCAATCATTCAGACCCAAACAATCCATTTGTAGCTGTAGACGGAACTCATATACAACAAATTAACCTCTCAAACCCCAAGTGGTCAGATCCGACCAAGGCGATATTCTGTCAAATTCCAAGTGGTTGGATTCGACTGTCCACACCCAAAACACTTTAAACCATTAAAACTTATATTTAGAGATTACCTTTCTATGAAGAAGTTTGGTATTATAGAATGATTCAAATTTTCTACCCTCTAGTGCAATAAAAAGTGAGTTGGTCTATGGATATCTATTTATAATCTATGTTCATTACATACGCTATTTTCATTTGGATGTTGTGTTGATTTTTGGATTTTTCTAGTGTTTTATTATAAAATTGTTTTTATCATATTATTAAGTAAATAATATCGAGTGATATATAGAAATATAATAGTGATTTTCACACTGCCAATATCCGCTTGATATGTACTTGGTTGTTATCAAAATAAAATAGTCTTTTTGTAATGAAGTAAAACCTGACTTTTGTCTAGACCACAGGATAGAGAATCTTATATAGAATTTATAATGCCAAACTTCTTCATAGAAATGTAGTCTCTAAATATAAGTTTTAATGGTTTAAATTGCTGTGGGTAGGTGCTGTCTCATGTGACCGCTGGGAATGTGATGGACTCATGTGACTGCATAGAATTTTGATTATACCCAGTGTTTTTGTAAAGCCGTAATAAGCCAAGGTTGTGGAGGTGGAGCATGAGTGCCTGCGATTTGCTATGCAAGAGCGAAGGGGCTGCACTTCCAGCAGCAGCAAAGCTGTTGCAGAAGAACTTTGATTCAATATTCCTGTGTAAAAAGTGAGGTACTATTTTACAAAAGAAACATTACTGATAAACTATACATTTCCGTAAGGGGGGAAGGGTATCAGGGCTTCCCCTGCACATAACACCTCCCCCACACCCTCCCACCCCCATACGTAGGTTCCAGATGTCTAGTTTCACTAAGTTAAATGTTTATAGAACTTTGAAATAGTGACATATTAGCTATACAACCTTTGCATATATTCGAGGTTTGGGACTGTGGATTTTGCAACAGATCTTCAGTAGAATTAATTGCGTACGGGTTGTGACGGCCGCATTTCTTCTGTTTGTTTTCATCTTTATTTTCCGACGTGTAAGGGTATCTAAACAATAACCTGTCACCTTTACTGTCCGACTTCACAAAAAATATGTTTAAGGGGTTGACTTCCATAATTGCATGCGTCAATCAAAATTTAATAAACAAGGCAAAAAACAACGCGCTAGATAATATTAAACGATTTTGCGACGGTATCAGCGAACTTGATTTATAAACGGTATTTCTTTTAAACATCTTATAAATCATGGATTCACTAATGAACACTACCTATTTATTTACTTTATTCTTTGATCTTTGACAGTGTCTGACTGTCTGACAGTTTGACACACGGGGATGAGTGTATGAAACTTCCATTTCCATACAAAGTCACGACCATAGAGGAAAGTAATATACGGTACACGACCTCACGAGAATAAAAATAAAATATGCATTTTATTCCATTTTATTTATTTATTTGGTTCACCAACAAATGTTACACTAATACATATGCTTAATTCCAAGACAGTGATATAAACTAAGTGCACATTCAATAATAGGTAAACACCGCATGCTTAGTGCTCACAGCATTTCACACAAGCCTTTACATAATAGCTAAAAACATACAATACACAATAAATTTTTTTTAAATTAATACAAAAAAAATTAGGAACTATGCAGAAATATTAATAGTTTGATAAATTTTGTACCGAAAAACGTTAAAAGAGTCGTGGTGAATATCTACTACATTATTATAAGTATTTAGAAGTCTGCAAAGTCTGGGCATTGGGGAATTAGATCCTACTACATGTCAGCTTTTCTCCAATAAAACCACGACAACTAACTTAGTTAACTGTTTAACTACTATGTTCGTTGTTTAATTTCACTCTTAAATTGTGTTATAGTACTTTCATAAGACACTATACTTTACTTTTACAAAGACTATATTAATTTAACTTTACTCACAACCTTTAGAATCACCTTATTTCACAATAGACTTCCTCACCTCCAACCTTTTTTTTCCAACCTTCTCAGCACCACTGTTCGTAATCAACTGCCGCGAGCGTCAAGTGTACGCGCTTTTATATTGTGACTAATTCTAGAATTAATGTAGGTACTTTGAAATGGATTCATATTAATATTAATTGTGAAGATTGCCAAGTAATATAGCATAATGATAATTTATCTAACACTCGACCAATCCTGACACTAGACGCGTCCTCGCGTAAAAACAGTACCAAAGATATTAGGTTTTAAATTAACAATTATTCTTAACTCTTAACTAATTACTAATTTTTTTCCACTTAATACTGACTAAATAGTACCATTCGACATCGGTTTCCTCTTTAACTGTAATGAATGCCGTTAAATAGTACGGTTCACACCGATACCATTCAGTACCAGCTCACTTTTTAACTCTAAGAAATGCCGTTGCGCAGAACGGTCCACATCGATACAATTCAGTAACGGCTCACTTTCTTATATTTAATGAATGCCGTTGCACAAAACGGTCCACACTGATACCATTCGGTACCAGCTCACTCTTTAACTCTAAGAAATGCCGTTGCGCAGAACGGTCCACACCGATACAATTCAGCAACGGCTCACTTTCTTATATCTAATGAATGTCATTGCACAGAACGGTCTACACCGATACCATTCGGTACCAGCTCACTCTTTAACTCTAAGAAGTGCCGTTGCGCAGAACGGTCCACACCGATACAATTCAGTAACGGCTCACTTTCTTATATCTAATGAATGACGTTACACAGAACGGTCTACACTGATACCATTCGGTACCAGCTCACTCTTTAACTCTAAGAAGTGCCGTTGCGCAGAACGGTCCACACAGATACAATTCAGTAACGGCTCACTTTCTTATATCTAATGAATGCCGTTGCACAGAACGGTCCACACTGATACCATTCGGTACCAGCTCACTCTTTAACTCTAAGAAGTGCCGTTGCGCAGAACGGTCCACACCGATACAATTCAGTAACAGCTCACTTTCTTATATCTAATGAATGCCGTTGCACAGAACGGTCCACACTGATACCATTCGGTACCAGCTCACTTTTTAACTCCAAGAAGTGCCGTTGCGCAGAACGGTCCACACAGATACAATTCAGTAACAGCTCACTTTTTTATATCTAATGAATGCCGTTGCACAGAACGGTCCACACTGATACCATTCGGTACCAGCTCACTCTTTAACTCTAAGAAGTGCCGTTGCGCAGAACGGTCCACACCGATACAATTCAGTAACGGCTCACTTTCTTATATCTAATGAATGCCGTTACACAGAACGGTCTACACTGATTCCATTTGGTACCAGCTCACTCTTTAACTCTAAGAAGTGCCGTTGCGCAGAACGGTCCACACAGATACAATTCAGTAACGGCTCACTTTCTTATATCTAATGAATGCCGTTGCACAGAACGGTCCACACTGATACCATTCGGTACCAGCTCACTCTTTAACTCTATGAAGTGCCGTTGCGCAGAACGGTCCACACCGATACAATTCAGTAACAGCTCACTTTCTTATATCTAATGAATGCCGTTGCACAGAACGGTCCACACCGATACAATTCAGTAACAGCTCACTTTCTTATATCTAATGAATGCCGTTGCACAGAACGGTCCACACTAATACAATTCAGTAACGGCTCACTTTCTTATATCTAATGAATGCCGTTGCACAGAATGGTCCACACAGATACAATTCAGTAACAGCTCACTTTCTTATATCTAATGAATGCCGTTGCACAGAATCGGTCCACACTGATACCATTCGGTACCTTTTTAACTCTAAGAAGTGCCGTTGCGTAGAACGGTCCACACCGATACAATTCAGTAACGGCTCACTTTCTTATATCTAATGGATGCCGTAGCACATACCGGCCTTAAAGTGTAATAATTATTCATATCTTCGTGCATATATGTATTATTCATAAAGATTATATACAACAGAAGGGAGTTATCATATACTGGTCTTTTGGCTTCAGTTGTTCAGAAGAAATTCGTTGTTCAACGTCATTGCGAATTTCATCTCGGATTTGAAGTTGCTGAAATTCAGGCACTTCACTGTTCATAACGCTATCGCAACTTCCCGATAGCGTTATGAACCACTCCAAATAAAGTCTCAGCAGGAGTTTTCCCAGTGCCTTTGTTAATTGTGTTGTTCAACGACCATTGCACGACCCTGACCATTTTCTCGAGGTGTAGCTACCGCATTTAATATGTGTTTCATACCTTTCCCCATTATATATTTGCTAAATTCATTACTAGTGAAGCTGGTACCGTGATCTGTAATTAACCGCCGCGGCACCCCGAATAATGCAAAGTATTCTTCAAAAATTTGGATACTCGTTTTACTTCTACAATTACGGACAGCTTTAAGATATAATATATTTTGTAAAAGAATCAATGATTGCCAATATATATTGATTCCTCTTTTGCTTAACGGAAATGACCCGCAATGATCCGCATGTATGATGTCAAATGGTTTGCTTACCTTTTCAATAGCATGAAAAATTCCTTCCCTTGGTCCGGCTGAAGTTTTATTATGAGCACTTACTAGGCAAGCCTTGCAATATTTTTCAGTGAACTTTCTCATATTTTGAACCAGTAGATCCTTTTGACAAGTTCGTATGTCTTTTCAAACCCAAAATGACCGTTATTGTCATGATTCATTTTTAGTATTTGCCATCTTACAGACTTAGGAACCACCCAGAGTAACGTTACGGTATCGTTCTTTTTGACGATTCTATAAAGCTTGCCATTTTTAATGTAAAATTATTCCTAATTTCAACAACATGCTCGCTTCAAAAAGTGCATAATATTTTGTGTTAAGTTTTGCATACAAAATAACTTATCCTAATAAATATGTACAAAATTCATAATTCATTTTTAGTATTTGCCATCTTACAGACTCAGAAACTACCCAGAGTAACGTTACGGTATCGTTCTTTTTGACTATTCTATAAAGCTTGCCATTTTTTAATGTAAAATTATTCCTAATTTCAACAACATGCTCGCTTCAAAAAGTGCATATTTTGTGTTACGTTTTGCATACAAAATAACTTATCCTAATAGATATGTACAAAACTTGCAAGTCTCTTCAACAGTATTTTACCCAATAAATCCAGTATAACACGTTCCTCATAATAGTCATGAGATACAATAGTTTCTGAACAAAATAAAACGGAGGTACACAGACACCTGATGAAAGGGGATTGCCCACTCTTCATAGACACTTCGGCCATGGGTGCCCACATATAAAAGCATATAGATATAATAATATGCAATTAAAACAATGAAATGGTTAAGGAATTGCTTTAAAAAAGTCGGGGTTTTGAAGATATATAAGTTTTTATTTTCACAAATGCAGTTTTTTTAACAACTATTTTTATCGATTTTATCGCGTTTTATTTCTTTGATTTTTAATTTCAGACGTTTTGGGTGCTTTCCAGCACTCATGTTTACGGCGGACTGAGGTGACTGACGTCCCAATGTCAGTATTAACCCGGAGTACCTTCAGATTTTTAATTTTTATTTATGGTCCGATCTACAGAATGAACTTACTGTGTCTTGAAGTCTTGCAGTGGTATGCTTGGGTTTAATTTTAATTTCATTAATTACAGGGTCCTATGCAGTACCAAGCCTCCTTCTCTATTGAAAAAAGAATTTTTTTATTTCAATCTCAGTCTCACATATCGGTCCTTGATAGGAATTGGATGATCCTTTTAGAGGATTTGTGGTCTATCAAATCTTTTTTTATGTCTATCTGGTTGGGGCCGTCCAGGATATGATCACAAACTGCAAACTTCCCTGAACCTTGATGCTTCATGTCAACTCGCTTCAAGATGTAGCCAATCTTGTCTGCGACACCCCTGACAAATGCTAGTACTGCAAATGCTTGACTGTGGCCGGCTTCACTCGGTCACTGTGACGTAAGCGCGGGCCCGAAGCTTATTGACGTGCAGAACTTGCTTGAAGCTGAAGCTCGACGGCCAGATGTTTGCTGCCACAGATCCCTTGTGCTCTCTGTAACAAAGATTTGCTTACGGTAACTAACTGTGAAGGATAATGGCGAGATTCATTGTTTTCTATACACAGTGTGACCTATGGTGTTGT